AAAAATTTTTTTTTTTTTTTTTTTTTTGCTGTTTTAATTTTTCTTGTGCTTGTGGTTAGCCTTTTGCAGCTGAAAGATTGTTCATTGTCTAGAGATGTGAAGCCATTGACAATCCTCATGCTTAGTTTGCACGTGTTAACATAAGAATGTGTTTTACAACTTTCTTTTTCATATGTTAAAAACAACTTTATAGAAATCCACTTTGTTGGCATAACTAACTGAGCCTTTTTTAGGTCTAGTGTTCTGGAATCCTTCCATGTACCATTCTAATATGTTTATGACACTTTTGAGGGACCCTTTAGAAGAATGCAGTGAAGTGTGTATTCTCAAGCCTGCTTTTAGTGGAATTTTTAAATAGGTAGTCTGCAATAATGATTATGTCATTATGATGATCTTTTCTTATTAATTATAATTGGCTGCCAGTTGGACTGTATTTTACAAGTTAGAAGTCCTGCTTGTTTTCATATAATGGTTAATAAGTTTTCAGATTAATTCATTGACTTGCATATATAAAACCTTTTATCCTTGTTCTGATGTCTGATATCCTGCCTGGTTGGGTATTCTCATTGGCAAGTTGAAAAATCACCTGTTCCTATTTTTGAACCTTTTTACTGTTCTATTCAATCGACATAATTTTTTTTTTGTGTGTGAGCATGTATGCATGTGTGTATGTATGTGTGTGATCTGTCTGTCTATCTATCTATGTCTGTCTATCTATCTGTCTGTCTGTCTGTCTATCCATCTATCTGTATCCATAGATTCAACACACTACTGATTGAAAATATTCAGAAGAAAAATTGCATCTGTACAGAACATATATGGTCTTTCTTCTTGTTATTATTCCCTAAGCAATACAGTGTAACAACTGTTTACATGGTGTTTACATTGTATTAGGTATTATAAGTAATCTACAAATGATTTGAAATGTCCTGGAAGATGTGTTTGGTTATATTATATACCTTTTTGTATAAGGGACTTGAACATCCATGGAATTTGATGTCCATGGATTAGGTCGTGGTGTTCTTGGAACCAATTCTTCATAGATACTGAGAGGCAATTATTCATATATATAATTCTTTCTACATAATTATTATAGTTTATTATAGCATTATATAGTCTATTCGAAAGGTGAAAATATGATATGTATATGATTAATTTTGGATATCTTCTTATTGTTTCCAATACAAAATTTAACAGGGATATTTGCCTTCTATATGAATAAGTCACACAATTAATGTTCCTTTGCAAGTAATGTGTTTTCTCCTTGTTATAGGTCCTTTTGTTCTGCATCACAGCGGCCATGTATATGTTCTTTTTCAGGTATGTTTTGTTGTCCTTACTTATTTTAATACCCAAAATGCATCTTTTGTAAATTTTTAACCATGAAACTAAAGTATTTCCCAAATAATTGTGTCCCACAAAAGGCATGTCTCCCCACCCCCAGTGGTTGCAGAAGAATTTCTACTCCTTTGTGAATAGGATAAAGAGGTGGAGGGAGGATTTACTTTTCTTCCTCATATTCTCTTTATGGCCATTAATAGTCATTTAATAGTACTTAGACCCTGGTAAATGAATTTTTTGATTTTTTTTATTGACATGATTCTGCTTATTCTTTGTTTATGAAACAATCAACCTTTTAAATTAAAATAAGAAAAAAAGGCTTGTAGGGTTCTATTTCAGCCTTCTGTGATGGTAACCCAGCATACTAATCAAACTTTGTAAATGTTAAGTTTATCTGTAATGTCAAAGGTGTACCTTTCCTTGACATGATTCCTCTCTGCGGAACCTAGAAGCATGTTAGGATTTCTCATGATTTGAAATGCCAATAAGACAATGTATGTCATCTTCATATAAATATAACAGTAGGGAAATAGGATTTTTGATCAGGAAGAGTCTACCACTCCATAATTTTTATTTTTAGGGCTACCAATTAATTCCCATTTATATCTTTTTATTAAAGTTATTTAAATAAGTATTTCTTGATTTTTCTGGACCTGTCAGTCACAGCAAGAATGATCCGACTTTTAATCTTCATACTTAATTTGCAAAGATAATCATGGATTTTTTAATAAAATAAATTTCTGTTTTTTTTAAAAAAGATAATTTTACTATAGCTGTATTTTAAAGCCATTGATTCCAGGTCATAATATCCTAATAAATATTTGGCATAGTGCAGTGATATGATTTAAAATTATTTTTACTTTTTCAAAAATGTTATATGCAAATACAAAGTGTTGAAATGCTGTTTTCCTATAAAGAGACAGTGAGGATGTTATAGAAAAATATATAAAGATACAAAGTAGGTAGAACTTGATCTGCAAAGCATTGATAGCAGGGTCCACAAGTTTTTGTTTGTTTGTTTGTTTGTTTGTTTTTGGTACCAGGAATTGAACTCAGGTCTTTGGATTTGTGAGGCAGGCGGTGGAACCACTGAGCTAAATCCCCAGCCCCTCCACAAATTTTATATTAGTCATTAGTGACTAAAAAATTATTGGAGCTGCGTTAGTCTTGATAATTTTTTTATTGGCATTCTCAGGATCAAATCTAGGGCCTTGGGGATAAACGCAAAGCAGCTGCTCTACCACTAATTCTTAGCTCTAGGCCCAATTTTATGATATATTATTTTTACTGTATCTTCATGCACACTCTAGTATTACACTGTGAGTTAGGCTAGTATACCATGCACTGGACTATAGTCTCTGCTTTTTTTTTAAAAATATTTTAGGAGTAGGTTTCATTTCATCAATTTCAGCATTTCATCCAAAAACTATTTTCATACATATCATTAGGACAGTATTGCAAACAGTTCACATGGTTGATTTTTATGTACTCTTCATTCTGGAGATATAGCATTCTTACTAAAGAAAATACAATCATAGAAATTATAATGTTAGAAGCACCACTTTTGTTGACATGTATAGGAGTAAAATATAACATCAAAGAATTTTCTTTGAAAATTCTTAGAAGAACACATAATTTAGTGAAACAGTCCTACCCAGTGTGGCACTTAAAGACAGCAAATATATGCTTAATGTTTAGCATTTCTTAGTCATAAGAAGCTTTTGAGATTTACAGACAAATTTTGTGTTGAATACATTAATAAATACCAAATTTATAAAATGGTTCTAGGAAATTATATTTTGAAAACTGCTGCCGTCAACCTATTATTTTTGGTGTAGAAAGAAAATCAGCCCTATAAATATGTGTTTTGGTACAGAGCTATGGAACCTTTTCCTGTTTCAGTCACAAAGTCTGGGTTAAAAACAACAGTTTAAAATACTTTCCAGAAGGCTCAATACAAGGTTTAAGTGCCAAGATAAGCACTTTCAATTTTCTGAGGAAAAGGAGTTGTTTTTCTCACAAAAAAAAGCACTATCACCAAATTCTTAGTGTTCTTGGCAGAAGTTAGTTTGAGTAACTCAACAAAAGAGATTTGGTGAATGATAAAATAAAACAATTTATGTAATACCACAACAAAACAGAACAATGTTACGTTTTTCTCATCTCTGTTTTGTATTTAGAAAAACCAAGCAATATTGTACATAGCATTCGACAAACTCCATTGCATTTGAATATTTTTGAAATTAATTTTTATTTTCAGTATAGACATTTTAGGTATTTATTCAATTTGTTAATTATTTTAACTTAATTGTATAAGATTGGATAATTATCAAATATTGTCCTTAGGACTCCTTTTATGTTAGGTTCTTTCGACAAGAGGCTAAATGAAAAATAGTATGCTTAAATGCTTCAACTTATGTTTTTCTTCTAATCTGTAAATGATAAAAAGGGAAATAAGACCTCTTTTTGTGGAGAAAAATGTATTATGTTTTATTTTTTTGTTTTTCTTAATGAAAGAACTTGAAGAGTGCATAAGTATTTTCTAAAAGAGTTACTGGCTGTAATAGTTAAGTGTGAGTTTATTTAAAAAGCAATACAATGTTTTTGATATTGAAAACTATGTTTAACTAAATGTGTGATGAAATATTTTATTTTTGCATAGCTCTGAATAGCTTTTTATAGTTTGTTCACATATATTATGTCATACATGGTGACTGATTTTAAAGCCACACACCATAAAAAACAAAAGAAACTTATCTTTCAAATGGAATTTTTGTGGAGTACTTTGGAGGTTTGGGTGGGGAAAGATAATATGTGTAAAGAGCGCTGTAGTGTTGTTCTACTTCGTAGCCAGCTGCCCTGCCACCATGCCATCAAGGTGTCTTTTGATACCTACACTTGCTATGAATTCTGTTAGGAATTGGGACACAAGGAGGATGGAACATATTTTGAAAATGTTGTGAAAAAGCCTTTTGCATACTCCCATTGGGGTTCATACTTGATGATTCTGCCTCTGCCTTTATTCAATTACTGTATAATTAATTGTATTTGCTTCTGTCCTAGCTCTGTATTAGGGCATTGTGTAGCAATATCAGTGCAGGCCAAGCAGAAATTATGGTTAAAATTTTGATAGAAAAATTTGCCTTGAGTACCCCTTTAAAACATTTCTTTATGTTTACATATGTATTTAACAGATTCAGCAGCCTGAGTTTTTTTCATCATACTTCTTTGTTCAGACTCCTTTAGGATCTTCTCCATAGTCATGAGGTTTTTCTTGTTTATTTGCTTTGTTTGTTTGCTTTTGGACACTAGCTCTCTTCTGTTTATAGAGAATCAAAAGAAAGAATCAGCAATACCAACACTAAGTAGAATTTAATATAATTTAATTCTGATTATAGAAAAAAAAAAGACAAAAAAGTGAAGTACTTTTAAGCATGAATTATTTTATTTTCAGCATTAGGTATCTATGAATTATTACTAACGTTTTAGAGAAAGGAAGTAATTCAGCATCATTTCTTTAAATTAGCTTTAAAAAGACAGGATCCTGGTGCATATAACAAATTTGATCCCAACCTGGTGAGTACTAGCTAGAAATTCTTCTCACATGCTTTTGCAGAGTCAGCGACAAATTCAGCAGTTTGTTTAAACATGTAGACTGAAAGGCTCAGACTTGTCATAACAAATAATCTGCCATGTAGGATTGATTCATAATAGATGTGTCTTAAATAATCCGATGCCAAGATGGAAAAGTATTGTATTTTTTTGTTAGAAACCAGTGCAGATGAAAGTTTCTTATGTTTTGAACATATTTAGAATATATATTTCTGCCACTGATGAAATTTAATAAACTCTCTGTAAAGGCACAAATAATAAATTATTTCATCAGTCTCATATAGATTAACTTTTGAGTGTAGGAAAACCAAGCTATTGCTGGACAATCTGCAATTCTTAAGTGAAAGACATTTGTGATTGTTTTTGAATATCTTTCCTAAGCTTAACTTAGTATATTTGAAACAATAACAAGTAAAGAATTTGTGATGTTGGTGTTTTACACATTTACTAAATTTATGTGAAATTCATTAAAATATCAGTTAGTTTTTTTTAAAGCATTGCTTAAAAATATACCAAATCCCTCTCTAAAATACCTAGATTATATATGGCATTTGGAGGTTAAAAGTTTTACCTGTGGCTTAGGAGAATTTTTCTCAAGAATTAGACTTTATACAGAAAATGAATTGGGGGTTTGGAAGCAGGCATGTCAGGTAATGGGGCAGTAATGTTGCACTTATCCAGAAGAGAAATAGTGAGAGCTTGTGAATTAGTCAGATTTCATCTAACATGACAAAATATTTGAAGCTTGGGTAATGTCTACAGAAAAAGTGGTTTATTTAGCACACCGTTTTAGAAACTGAACGTCTGAGACTGGGCAGTCCTATCAATTTGGCCTCTTTTAAATCCCTTTTGGCTGGATCACCACGTAGCAAATGGTATCATGTGAGGCCATAAGCAAAAGGGAGAGATTGCAGGTCAAACAAAAAGATACAGAACAAGGGACCAGTCTTGTACTTTCACATGTTTTCTTAGCCACAATGTCAAGAAGCAATAATAATCTTGTTCTTTTATAATAACCTTCTCATGGATACTAACCAGGGTCTCACAAAAGTTACATTTAGATTTTACTACCTTTCACATTGATACGCTGGGAATGAGCTTCTAACCCATGAACCCCTGGAGGACAAATCACATCCAAACTGCAGTAATCTGACTAAAAGTTACATTGGGGATGATGTGAATTTATGTAAGATTTGAGAATTGCTACATAGATGCTAACCTGGAAAAACTGCTAGAATATGAGCCATGAGGAAGGAAAGAAAATGTGTAGAAATTGACTGTGTTTTGCATAGTGAGGTGGATAGACTTTTAGGGCATTCAGATGGAGAGAAATATGGCTATTAATTAATGGATATTTTGAAGCTAAG